GAATTTTTGCTCAGATTTACTATCCTCGGCAAAACTGTTGAAAAATGAGTTTTGGTCACTTTTGCTACATTGAGCAAAAATGTGGCAAATTACTACTTTGACCGAATTTGCTATAGAGAGCAAAAGCATCCAAAAATTCATCTTCGATCGCTTTTGCCCATTTGGGCAAAAACCTGACAAATGTCAGTTTTGCTATCAAGTTTGACACCCCTGTAAATGCCTTGATAAAGTAAAGGTTATCCTTGTTTTTACACACGGGGCAAATTTGAGGCAAATTCGGCATTTACCACCTTTGCCACTGATGCAAAATTATGGCAAAGTTGGTCCTATGTCATGTGGCAAAATTGAGCAAAATTAAGCAAATGTGGCATTTGCAGATGATTTGCTCCAAATTTGCTATAGAGGTAAATCCGTTTTTTCGTCCAGTGCTAATGGGCTTTAGCCATCTCTTGTTGTGGTTTTGGACTGATTTTGCTCTTTGTCTACTAATTATTCATTTCACATTTTTATTATAACAATCTCAATGCAAGATCCAGTTGTTAGAAAAATTATTGCGTCATTGTGGCGGCAAAACTCGTCACTTGATCTGAAAACTGAGCTTTGCACGAGAGTCTAGGAACTGTGTTTATAGACTGGGGTAACTTTCGCAAAAGAGAACTTCTTTCGGCAATTTCGAGGAAAAGTTGCTAAACACATTTTTCTAGATGAGAATTATGTGCTAAACACGAAAATTTTGTTTACCATTTAGACATTGAAATTAGCCGTTAAGGGTAGCATTAATACATTGTGACATGAAAACGAGGCTGTATGTTGTATGAGGATGCAAACTGTTAAAATTCGTTCAGATCAACAGCTGACTGATACAACTTGTTACTTACAGTACCTCGCAGAAACCATCTGAAAATCACGTGATTTTTCTGGTCACGTGACCATTGAAAACAAGGTTATAGGCTGTTCAGCATTTAGACAAATTTAACGGCACAGTCATGAAAGAAACAAAATTACCAATCCAGCAATTCGCTCCGTTAGTTACAGCAGCTATAGAAATTTAATTTTTCGGCTATTTCCTAAGATATTTACAGTACGCTCCCGTTCTATATTGCAGACATCTTACTTCCATTTGGAATTATTGAATTTCTGGACGTTTGCAAAATCCTTGAGATAATTAACAAAAACTGCATTTTCTTAAAACTACTTTTAACTTTCACGCCCTAACCATTCTGGATACATGCTGCACTTATAACTAAGAAGGAATGTCATAACATTCGATTGATAGTAGCCATTTTAGATGCGTCTGATGTCAGCTTCTGAAACACATTTAAGACCTAAATTGATATTGTAAGCATCAGACATCCTCGTCCTATAGGACGAAAATAACAAAAAAACGTTATTAGTCCACAGACAATTATAAAACAAGGATAAAAAATTACTTAGAGAAGCTAAAGGCTTTTTTCTGCTGAACTGTACCATTTACTTTCCTTGGTTTGCAATGACATGACCATCAACATCATTTGTGCAATTGAGATCTTCAGTACACCTGCATGTACACGGCGAGCTTTTGCCTGATTCCCATGAATTTATCAGGAATTTAAACAATTTGTCTTAAAGTACTTCGGGACCCAGTTGTTCGAAGACCGATTAGCGCTAAACCCGAGGTTAAATTTTTATCCTGGTTTCTTCTTATTTTGTTCCAAAGCATTTTCTCGAATAAGTTTCTTTAGTATTTTCCAAATCAGTGAATAGCACTTTTCTTACCTTTTGATTGGCTCCCGTAACTCGGAATATCCTTTGCGACCGGAGCTAAAATGGCGTCTCACCTCGAGGCATTTTCGGAAGACGAAATTTGAGCGATTAATGGGGCAGTCGTACAAACAAATACTAGGAAAGCGACTATCTTTGGCTTGTCGGTGTTTACTGGTAAGTAAGAATATATTTTCATGCTGAATTTGCAACAAAATCGTCAAAATACCAGAAATGTTTGTAAATTGTAAATTAAGTTCCTACTAAGTCACGTTTTTAATTTCCAAAAACTTACTTTTTTCATTTTTATCCAACTGATTTGGTAAATACTAAAACAACTATCCCCCTCAGGATCGGTGAAAAGTGTTAGATATATAACTCGACGCTTCGCGTCTTGGTATACGCACCACTATTCACCTCTCCTTCGGGGGATAGTTGTATACTATCCTTTTTAGAGCATCCAATAGTCACATTGAAGACAAAAAGAATTAAACTGAATTTTGCTTTTTCAGCTTTTATCTCTGAATTCAAATGTCGCACTAACCGTGTGTTATCTTAACCAAGCTTTTATTTATCTTAACCAAGCTTTTAACAACCCGGCCCTGTAATTTGAATCCTCCTAAAAACCCAGTCGTCCGTCAGCAAGTTAAGAACAGAATTCACAAGTGCAATCGCAAAATTTACTAGCTCCCAGTTATGACGCATAACTTTCCTTGCAGGCTGTGCGGTCAGGAATGGCTATTGGAGAATTTTGACTTAAGCTACAAGCTGGATGCGTAATCTTAGGAATCACTCAGTAATCCTTGGATATTATTCATAAGTCACAAACAATCATCAAAATTTAATATCTTACACATGCTCATTGTGGTATGTTCTACGCAACTTGCCCCAGAATCCAAAAGGTAGATGGTTACTTGAAAGAAAGGAAACGTTTGCATCACAAAGCTTTCAGCGCGGGCTATAATTATTGAACAACCCTAAAAGAAATCAGACCCACCTCAGTAAGGCTAAAACTACTGATTCCACTAACCTGTTGCAACAGGCTACTTCTTCTCCACCCACATTTTTGTCCCAGCTTTACTTTTAATTAATAATTTTATTCCCATGATGTTGATCTCTATCAATAATACTATTTATCATTTTTCATCACATATTTGATCTTTCTATTCACAAAATAGGGTTTCAGTCACTCATGAAACCATCTACTCATCGTGCAATGGAACAGATACGTTCATCTCAGCCAAGACCTCTTTTATACACTCAAGCAAATGCTCCATATCTTCAGGGTACAATTTTCCAATGTTGCCAATCCTAAAGCAGTCTGCATTGCTTACTTTTCCGGGGTAGATAACTTGGTCCCTACTGTTTAAGCGACTGTAGAACTCCTCAAAGTTGTAATTAGGGTGGGTGGGGTTGTAGTAGGATGTTATGATGTAGCCTTCGTGGGTGTGCAACTAAAAACTTCTTAATGCCGAGTTTTCTCATTCCATCTTGAAGGACATGGCAGTTTTCCATGTATCTACAAATGTAAGTTTCAAATTAAAGTAAATTAACCCACTTGCTCTCAAAGTCAATAACAGAGAAATGCAGTAAATGGTGAATTTAGCATCCAGGGTCAGAGGCATAACTACAACTTTTCAAAGGAGGAGACACACATGTCACACACAGGGCACTTACACAATTGGCATGTCGACATCCAGGCCGTCACGTGTTTTTATTAAAAATGACATTTTTTTTCCGGACGAGCAGTGAGCATGGGGGGAGGGACAAGCCTACAAGATAGCTGCATAGATTAATTAAGTTCCACTTGGGATCCCTCGTGGCTTTGCTTCGCGTCAGGGGCACCCATCGAGAATATTGTTCAAAACCAGCATTAATGAACGTATTTTAGTATTTACACGGTAGATATAGGCATATTTTTATCCCCTAAAAATATTTCATCTGTTCGGATTTCCTAGCTTAAAGTCTAGTGATCCGAATATTATAGGGATCAAAACTTACCTTTTCGAAAATTTCAGCCAGAAAAAAAGGCTCCCGAAAATTCTAGGTGACTTTTTAAGGTAAAAATCTGTTAAAAATGGGCAATTATACCATTTTTCGATGTTCGAAAATCCTAGAAGAGGCAGGCAAGTAAGAAATTTTACAACAAATGTTCTGAAAATTCTAGATCTCAAATCGTCTTCCGAACAGATATTTTCCGAAAATTGACGTTAGGTGCCCTTTTCCCGTGGCGGCTCTGCCGCCAAAAAAGTACTGGCCCCAGACACAAGAATATCGCCAGCTACGCAGGCTACATGTAGCATAAATTACTCCTTTTAATTACGAACAAGAACAATTGGTCCTCTGCAGATGTTCGGTCCTGCAAATGGAGTAAATATCTAGCAATGGAAAAGATTTATTGCATGTTGATTCCTTGGATTCACGCGTTTTGACCACCTGTTAGTGAATTATAGGCACATAAAACAATGATCTCACAAAGGAGGGGAGTCACGAGCACCCCAGGACCACCCCTGTGGGTGCTTCTTATTTAATATTCTTCAAGTCAAGGGGGACACTTATTCAAACAAGAAGAATATTTGAAGAGGGGTGCCATGGTTTTGCTAATTTCGTGGTACACACAGGCAATTCTCCCTCGATTAGACACCCAGCAGAGCAGGGGGGGAATCCCACATGAAAGAGTCAGGGATGCTTATTATCTCAATTAGGGGTGTACCTTACAATGTTTAGTTTCATGTGAGATGATCAGGACTATTATGAGTTATATGGTAAGATAAGCTGTTGCGTGTCGGCTTGCCTCGCGCTTCGCGCTTTTCTCTCTTCAACGCCAAATAACGCCTGTTAGGCGAGCCTCAATCTGGCGAGTAAATTCTCTTCTCTTGTATGCCTTCTTCCTTTAATGGACTCAAAAAACAGGGACTTGTTTAAAGTTGACATGGGGCGTCGAAGATTGGCTTTGCCTGGCTGACAAGGCATTTGAACTGATTTCTTGGAATCGGTTGAAAAAAAAAAAAAAAATTTTAACAATGTTTTCACCTTATTTTAATTGTTATTGCTTACATCCCGTATACATTTTATGAAGCCAACTTTTCTGGCGCCTTAAAGATAGCAGACCAGCCTTTTTTTAACGCAGTGTCTTTTATCTAGTTAAAGGTTGACTTGTTCTCCAAAAAAAAATAAAATTACAATAGTATAAACTGATTTAATCATAATTATTTGGTTTTCGTAACTCCAGCCATGCCACAGTGACAGGTATCTTCCAGTCACTTGGTACACACAGCGCATGTCAACTCCCGACCGTTGACATAAGGGAGACACGGTAGTGAACCACAAACGCCTTCCACAGGGTACAACAAAGAACCATCATTGTTGGCATTGCTACCAGGAACATACTCTGGATCCCCGTCAACACAGATGAAGTCGGTTGAATGCCCGTGGCCATGATATGCAGTCATCAGATACCCATGATACTCCTCGGTCCATCCAGACGGACAGTCATTCTTAGCGGGCATCATCAGCATTGAACCACGTGACTTGACGAAGCAGACGACGCATGGTACTTCATGATTATGGAGATTTCTCTTAAAAGGGTCTCCGTTGTATTGGTGCACTTCATATTCAGTGCCGTACACGTATCCAGCTAACTGATGGCCATTTTTGTACTTGTCATACTTTGGATCGTGGGGAAGGCAGAGGTAGTTCGCTCCACCACCGTGGCGAGTGTGGCCTTCTCCACCCACTCTACCTGGTACAAGGAGAAAAAATTATTATGGTTGTAGAGTTTTGGGGGTTCAATCTGGTACAATACTCTGGAATATGCACCTCCTTACTTTCCTCACTTCCTCTCACTGTTTTCAGTCTTATAAACGCCATTACCGAAAACATCAAAACATGCTAAAATGGCGTTTACAGTTAGGAAGGGAAACAATAAGAGAACAAAACAGACACAACTCATTATGAGGTATAGACACTTAAATGGCTATTTATGTGCATTTTAACAGTTTTATTGATCTTACGATAAATTCCCATACAAATCCTTATAATCTGGCTTCCAGTCATCCTCGGAGACCCAGGGGCGGTCAGTCGGGCCGGGAGAAAAGGCGCTACAAAAGTTTTTAAGTACTTGAAACTTTTGTAGCGCCTTTTCTCCCGGCCCGACTGACTGCCCCTGGGTCTCCGAGGATGGCTTCCAGTGGGCTAATGTGAACATGGGGTGCCCTGTGATCCCAAGAGAAATAGTTATTTTTTTTCCCGAAAATCAAAATGACAATTAGATTCGAGGGAAACAAAATTAAATAGTTTTCCGAGGGACCAGTCATTAAGTACTTTGCTAAATGCCCAACAAACAAACTGGCTACCTCGTGTGCAAATTTAAAAAAATTAAATCTCGTCGAGCACTGTCGAGCGGTCCATGCTGGTTATCATTCGCTGATTACAGTGCACTATTAATCTTCCGACGAAATATATTTTGCAATGTTGCCCGCTGAGACACTTTTGGCGGGAAAGACTTTTGTTGTTAGATGTCATGTGACCTCGAAGTAACCAGTGACAGCGCACGTACAGCGCACGTTGTTAAGGAAAAACGAGGGGTACAATCTCGTACCCAGATCTCACTCTGCCTTCATTTTCGACCGTGGAAGATGATGGGTAGATCCAGGTTTGATATTACAAAGAGCGGTAATATGCAGGAAAGATTGGAGAGAGTTAACAAAAGGAAACGTGATGTTAACGTTTAAAGACTGAACCGGATTAATGTAAAACAACTTTGAGAAACTTTAGAAATTTTACTGATAATGACTAGTCTTCAGCTTTCAGTTCGTCGTTCTCTCTGTTAGAAACATAGGAGTTCAGTTCAATTGAGTCTATTGATTCGTGAGAAATTTACACCGCCCGAAGTTAGCAACAGCCAGTCGAAGTGAGCAGTGGTTACACACAAAATGATACAAAAACAAGAAAAGGCATGCTATGGCGAAAAAGAAAAGAAATTGTCTTACAAGTTCGTGAAGAAAGTCATGTATATTCCAAAGAGGCCGAGTTTTCAAGAGATTTTCGCTACCAAGACGGGTAAATGGTAACTTATCATTTGTGGGCCCCTGTTTTCCTACCTTTGTAAACTACCTGAGCGCCACTAGGACATGTGGTTCTTCCCCAGCGAACGTACTTCACCCCTGAATTTCCAGATCCATCCTGTCCCTTTTCTCCTTTTGCACCTTGTGGTCCCTGGGCTCCAGTCTTCCCAACTGCTCCCTGGTTTCCTTGGGGACCAGGAGGGCCTGGGAATGACTTGTTAGTTCCTGGTTTTCCCTGTTCCCCTACAAAGTATAAAAAAGACCCCAAGCACTCAATCTCGACTTATTGCAGCATTTAAGTGCTCAAAATTGGAACTGTCAATTACAAATCACGCATATAACGATTGAAAAATGGCCTGCTTGCAAAAGCCCCAGAAGTAAGATATTAGCTGAAATTCGGCGATTAATGGAACTTATTGTTTACAGCTAACCGGGTGGCTAACTTGTAAATACTGGTATGTTAAACTGAGAGGGGTTTCTTTTGCTCTTTTTCCTACATTCACAGTTGGTGTTATAAAAGCTTCAGTTTTTCCCTTGATCTCTATGTCGTTTGTCCTTGATACCTTTTGATCCTTTTGCTCCTATTGGTCCTGGCTTCCCAGGACCACCAGCAGGCCCCTGTGTCCCAGGAGTACCAACCAGTCCCTGTTTCCCAGGAGCACCAGTCGGTCCCTGTTTCCCAGGAGGGCCAGGTGGTCCAACTCGTCCCTTTCCGGTGTTCTGCATATGTTGTCCTGAAAAAGAAGAACAGCGATGTCACAGCTTCGTTACCAGTGATTTTTCGCTTAGAAAACCGCCCCCCTCCCCATTTTTCTTTTCTTTTTTTTTAAGGAAAAAGCCCCAGGAAAGAGGTTGGGTGATGCCACTCACAGATAACGCAAATTTACCAGGCAAATGAATTACATACCGGTTCTTGGGTCACATTGTTGCTTACGCATTCTATAACACTAAATCAACGACAACATAAAGTTGCTTATTTTAAGTTTTTAAAAGGACTGAAGTTTTGGAGCAAAACACCTGAATTGAATATTTCCGGCTGTTCATGTTGCCTACCGGATATTAATGAAACTCGCTAGTTGCTTTTAGGTAGTTTCGTACTAGTTTGCAATAGGATTGAACAACATATTTTACCAAGAATGTAGGTCAAAAGTGACCCGTAAGACTCCCCCGCTGGTCGAGGAGATAATCGCAGTAAGCCATCAAATCTGCAAAAAAGAGTCAAACATAGAAATTGTCAGGGATAGTGTAACGGGGACCTTCGTGTCTTGTGCCCCAGTTCAACCACCAGTTCCGCCTTAATGCAGCTTGACTTTAACTTTACAAGAGTCAAGCATTGTTGTATTTTCGAGCTGTTTAGTACGCTTCTTCTGCTCTAGGAAATTATTGCGTGGATGAAAGGAAAAAGACTGTAATCAAGTCTGATAATAATAATAAAATAAATATAAAACTTATATTGCGCATATAAAATATAAATATGTTCCGGCATATACGCATAACAGACGATAAGATAAAAATAAGTCGAATTAAAAGGTATCATAAAAATGTAAGTCGATTAAATTCTATGTTAAAAAATAATAATAGTAGTAATAAAATAATAAAATGAAATTAAAAAACAGATAAAAACTAAAAATTAAAAATAAATGAATATGTCAATTAAAAAGCTATCTTAAAAAAGTACGTTTTGAGAGCTCACTTAAAAGATGTGAGGTTCTGAATGTTTTTGATCTCCGCCGGAAGACTGTTCCACAGTTTGAGAGCAGCCGACTGAAAGGCTCGGTCACCAAGTCTAGGTAGACACCGTGCGTTGGCTGGTACCAACAAAGTTGCATTCCTGGACATAAGATTATACCTTGTCTGGGCAGCGACCGCAATAAGATAAACCAGATATTGTGGTGCAAGTCCATAGAGGCACTTGAATTTTAATACACAATTTCAATTTCAAATCTGTATTTGGTGGGCAACAAATGAAGATCTTTTAAAATGGGAGTGATATGACAGATACGAGGAATGTTAGTTAGTTTATAGATAATCAACAATAACTGTCGTATTTAAACGGAAGCATGTCCGATTCTGGATCTGAAAACTATCTTCCCACACAAGCAGGCTGCAAGTCTTCAACATTTATCAGTGCAGACCAACAAAAAGCGTTTTCCTCTTTAAAGGGGGTGTCCCGGTACTTTTATAATAGGAGACCCAAGCCTATGCACAGTGTTGAAACTGTTTTAAGAGCCATTATCTGAGAAAATCGAGAATCGCACGACACTCGTCAAAAAATCGAATTTTTGTTTATTTTGCCAAAACATCCCTTTTAGTGACCTTATTTAAGGAAAAATAGTTTTGGGTTCAAACGATTCATTTTAAAGGAGAAATTAGGAAAAGTTTGAAAAATCGATTTTATGCTCGTTTTTCGCACAAAACACGGCAGGATGCAATGGCAACTTCGAGAGAAGGGTGAACGCGTAAGAAACATTCCCTGACATTGAAACTTCACCGAATTATTATTTTGTTCTTACTCTTGAAAGTCCTAAAAGAAAATTTGATAAACAATGCTTTACATTTTTATAATCGACAAGTGTAAAGAGGTCATATTTGTGACGTTAGACGTGCTAGAAAATGAAGGCCAACTTTGACTATTAAAAAGGCCTCTGGTATATGCCGCTTGATCATAAAATCAATATAAAATGGAACCTTGGCTTTTGTACTAACTTACTGGAAAGTTTTAGCTCTGGAAATCAAATATCATCCTGACACCAAAGCAAGCGGTGAGAGCAATTGAATTGGGAAATTTATGCAAATTAGACGGCTTGCGGACGGTTGTCAAACTAAAAGAAAGGTTTTACATGAAAGGATTACTCACCATTGCTTGTAACACGTTTTTACGGCAAGGAAAGTTATTTCCAACTTCTTTTGCGTCGTTTTGAGTCACAAAATAAATAATTTTTAGCCAAAAGACAAACGTACGTTTGCTAAGCAACTGCGTCCGAATCCGGCCGTGAATCGAAAGTCCCAACGCGTCGAAGCAAGAGTTGCAAGAGTTTTTACTTCAGTCAGGAGGCAAATGGAATAAAAACTCATCGCAAACTATAAATGACTTCGATTTTGAAAACCTTTCATCACTTCAATCGTTCGTCGGCTGATAATAAACATCGCACAAGATCGTATGACCTTTGGCGTGTGACCGGAAATTGGTCACACGCTTCAGTCACGTCAGCATGCTGTCACGAAATTTTCGTAGCTGTTGTCAGCAATTTTAATACAGTTTTCACATTTTTTGACAAGAACTCCCCTCATCGCAGTAGAAACAGCCATGCATATTTATTTTTCTTTTATTTACCTACTAGGCTTGGAAACAGCTTTTTTGCCTTCGAAGTACTAAACAGGAGGGGTACCTCGGATTCCAAGTGTCGTGAGTGACCCGTGGAAGCGAAAATCAAAACCAAAAAAGAACGAATATTTTGAATACTTAAGTAAAGCCACAGCTAAAAAAAAAATTTTTTTGTTCAAAATATTTTCAAACCAAGAAAAAAACATACTTCGATCATCCCCGTGACTTGGAATCTGGCCAGGGTACCCCCTCCCCCTCCCCTCCTCCCCTATGCCGGGTCAAAATACTAAGTTCCCCCGGCCAAATGTCCCATAGTCAAGGGAGTATACTCTCTTGCTGTAGTAAAGAACTTGCAGAATAATACCAATTCTCCGTGGCCAACGGATTCAACGCTATAGTTTACTTTGGTTTTCGCTATTTGCTCACGATAAGGAGCCTATAACCCCAACCGCGACCAAATTATGAAACCTGTTATTACCAGAGAAAAAAAAAACACAAAGAAACGGTCAGTCAGATAGACAGTACATAATAAAAAAGACCTCGATTAAGATTTAAAAAAATCAATACATGACACTGTCGAATACGAAAACCCAGAAACCATTTTGTGGAAAAAAGGTTCGTATACAGCTATCAGCTGCTTTTGTCCACAACTCGCCGGTAGAGGTGCGCAGAAACTAGTGATTGTGAAATGGCTTCAAACTATGATCCTATACTGTTGGAATATTACTTATCACAGATAGCTACATCTGATTTCTTCTAGCAGACACAATCCTCTTGGTTCGTGTGGACAAAGTAGCTCATCCCGGCTATTTGCACCATGCTACCATAGTCTCCCTAGATTCCCAACCCTCGCACGCAGACTTTCCTGTCCCACGAACGTTGGGTAGAAACTAGTGATTGTGAAATGGCTTCAAACTATGATCCTATACTGTTGGAATATTACTTATCACAGATAGCTACATCTGATTTCTTCTAGCAGACACAATCCTCTTGGTTCGTGTGGACAAAGTAGCTCATCCCGGCTATTTGCACCATGCTACCATAGTCTCCCTAGATTCCCAAGCCTCGCACGCAGACTTTCCTGTCCCACGAACGTTGGGTAGGATTATAGGACGAGCCAAAAGAAAGTGAAGGCTATAGGCTCTCGCGATGATGCAAGGAAGGTCGAGTATTATATTCCCCTATCCTGGTCGCCCAGGGTAAGTCTTCGGAGGAGAGTGACTTAGGGGCCGTATGTTCGAAAAGTTGACTAACGCCCCCGGGACTAACGCTTTCCCCTGGATAAATCTATATCCAATAAGTAACGCAACTGCTTCTTCTTGTTCGCTTGATAGTGATTTCCTGTTGTTCAACGTTTGAACAACAGGGCCCGAAGTATTGTGTTTCGCCTTGCACTAAAAACCCATAAACCTTATAAATTTCACTATGGGACTTCAGCACATCCCTTGAATGATCCATTTCGCTAAACGGGACCTCAAAACAACGATTCTGTGCATCCTAAGGGAGTGTATACTATACGTTCCTGACTCTCGTCACTCACAGTGAGGTGATGGTGGCTCATACTCTAATAGACCTAACACAGTCGAACCTCCATGTGCGACCGCCAATCCAAAAGACCAAATTTTCCCATTCAAAGCCTTATATTTGGAACCTCCAGTAAACGACCTTCTGTAAGTGACTGCGACCACTTTTTGGGCGTCACGGTTAATTGTTTTCCATAAGCGACCAGTTGACGCATTCTCTGCTCTCTATTTTTGCTGTGTGCACTATGTTCCTTGGAAAATATAAAGACCTTTAGTGACATCGTGGAACTACACATATCCTAACTTAGTAGATGTAGCCAACAAAGTGAAGATTCTGTTGTGATTCTAGACTATTCTATATCTCACTCACCTGAATCCCTCTTTAAATTGAGCATGATTTAAAAGCTGTATTTTTCAAAAGAGGTAAAAGATAATATTTTGCCAGGAATTTGTTACACCGCCATTTAATAGAAAGTGCCCGGACCTCTTCTCGGAATAGACCCCATGTGGTCCGATTCTTCTAAACGGCCACCTCCCGTTAGAGACCATTTTGGTGGTCGCCTACTGGAGGTACGACTGTATTACTTTGACCTATCAGAGGCTTACCGATAATAAAGGGGATCTGGAAGGGGGCATGGATGCGACAATCACATGCGAGGTCGCTTACTTAAAATAGTGGACATCTAACTGACAATCAAAGTTTGTGCTTATTATTGGGGTTATCTGGTGTTTACTCACCTCCCAAGCTACCCTGGGCAAGCCAACTTTTCATCCATTTCCTTACAAAACTTGGTAAACCATTTACATGAGAAACAAAAGGTTGGTTCGGATAGACGCCTTACTACCAGTAGTGGGCGGGGTTGAGGGCTTCCGGAAGTCAGCCCTCCACTGAGCCGGTAGTGGTGACCTCACCCTTCTAGCCCGGCTAATATTTCTTCAGCTAGCTGGGACAACACGGTCAAGGCTAGACAAAGACAGCATGCGCAAGCACTGTTGACTCGGACAAAGTGGTCAGTTTTTTCCTCATACAAACGCTCGCAAAAGTTTGCTCGGCTGGGAGGTTGACCTTCTCTCCGGCACAGCTTTTCTCCATCCACGGGTTCCAAACAGTCTTTTAGCAGTCACGTTTGAAATTTATAGGAAAATGATGTAGCACTTCAAAAAATAATAATAAAAAAAATACACTTTTTTCACAGCCTGTCAATGCCTAGAAGGTGTCTATAAAAGAAATCAACTGCAGAACAGGAGTCAATTTCAGTTTTTTGCGCTTTTCATGCTAGCACTGCGAAGCGGACTGGGGGTGCGAGACACGCGCGATGCATGGGGAACAAGTTCTGCAGGCTATAAAAGAAATTAAAA